TACAAATTTCAAAATGATTGCACTGCTTTAAAGCCATTTGACCTTTAATAATGTGTGGATGCCCCCTGATGTGCTACGCATTCTCCAACGCGCCTAGGCATGCTTCTGATCAGGTGGTCAATGTCCTCCTGTGGTATCTCATTCCAGGCAACCTCCAACTCCTCTCGAAGTGCTTCTAGAGTCTGATTAGGACGTTGCAAATTGAGCAATCTCCTACCCATCATATCCCACATGTGCTCAATTGGGGATACGTCGGGAGATCTTGGTGGCCATGGTAACAATGTGACATCATTATGTTGAAAGAAGTCTATTGTGACTCTTGCAACATGTGGTCGGGCATTATCTTGTTGGAAAGTTGGATCTTCCAGGATGTCAAGATAGGGTAAAAGATGGGGTTCTAGAACTTCGTGGATATAACGCTGCGCGTTCATGTTACCTCAGATGAAGATTAAAGGTAACCTGGAACCATAAGCTATAGCACCCCGAACCATAACTCCAACAGTGTGATGAACAGGTCTTTCAACAAAAAACTGTGGATTCCTCCTTTCACCACGTCGCCTTCTAATCCTGGCACGACCATCGTGCATGCCTGAACAAAATCGAGACTCGTCACTAAAGACAATACTGTTCCATTCCTGATCCCAGAGTGACCGTTGTCTGCACCACTCAAGGCGATTACGTGGGTGTTCTCGAGTTAAAGGGAGGACCCAGTGTGGCCGGTATGAAAACAAGCCAAAACTTCTCATTCGTCGGTAAACACTTCGCATGCCAATAGGTCTTCCGTGTTCTGCAAACCACTCATTTGCAATGGACCTGGTAGTGGAGAAACGGTCCCTTAAGGCCAATAATCTTAGGCGGCGATCTTCACGGTCTGTTGTTCTACGGCGGCGTCCAGTGCCCCTTGCTCTTTGCGTACGGCCTTCTCGAAGCCATGCCTGACAACACCTAACCACAGTGTCTACACTTCTTTGCACTCTAACTGCAATTGCCCGAAAAGAAAGTCCAGCTTCCCGAAGTCCCACTATACGGCCCCTATCAAACTCACTAAGTTGACGAAATCGTACAGGTCTCCGTACTCTAGGCATCGTAACCGATCGTAAAGGATGTCAAGAACCAAAATCCGCCAACGTTGATTCTTTACTGCGGCTGAAATATTCATTTTTAGAGCGTTAGTGAATTAAAAAAAAGCAGTATAAAAACCGGAATGTCCAACTGATAAGGCTGAAAATTTTTTCACTTGTTATTTACAGTAAGGTAAATACATTCACCAACTTTTATTAAAATAAAACCATTTAAACTGGGTGTTCGGATTTATATGTCACTTAGTATAAATTCAGAACAAATTAAAAACGATTTTCGGAATATTAGTTCCACTTTCTGTGTTTCTCTGAAGATAGTGGAAGGGCCAACTTATATATAAATACGCAACTTTTCCACCATTCAATCGACCCGTATTTCCGACCGTTTCCAGATCACACTGGCGAAAAGATGACATATTTGTTTTTCAAATCATTCTAGAACAAACTAGGTACATATTCTATAAAACTATTTTCGGCTATAAGTCATATACTGTTTCAAGTGTATTACTTAAAAAAGCATCTCGCGCAATGTTTGCTTGTACGTTCCAAAAAAAGTAATCATACTAGTTTTCTATATCCATATGAATTGTCAAATCGCCGTAGAAGACTATATAAATAAAATATAAATAGAAAGAAAGAGATCAAGCATGTAGATACGATTTGTAGAACTTAAAAGTTTTTTTTTCGGATTGCCCACCTTCCGTTTTTAGCTGGGTACACCCTTGGTGGCAGTATTAGTTCAGATTTTTTTTATACTGAAACAGCTTCGTTGGGAGAACCAAGTACCGAGGTAACTCGACATATTATAAATTCTTGTTATTCTATAAAGGTGGGATTCCACTGAGGCAACAGTGAACGACACGTGGCATGATACTTGTTTCCTAGTGTTGCCTCCATACTTTCTTCACGTATTTTTTTTTCGTTCCCGATGGAAAGCCGTTTTTTTCCTCGTCATCGTACAAGGCCTGTCATAATTATATTCACCTGACAATTCCCGTAATTTACCCTACTTTAGTCGCGCATCTTTACATCTTTCCGATTTGTTGTTTTATAATTCACCCGAATTGTGGTGATCTGCAATTAAACATAACGTTTTCTCATTGGTCCACTCCATTTTGTCGCCTGCGCCAAGCCGCACCGATCCGCATGGGTGGATTCATGTCGCTGACGGAGCCCTCGAGAGGCAACAACGGGCAACTTGTGGCATGCGACAAGGAGACATATTTTTTGTCGTTTTGTGTTGCCTCATGCGTCAATGCCGTATACTACATGTTGCCCAAAAGTTGTCTCAGTGGAATTGCGCCTTTATTGGACTGCCTGAGATTACTAAAACTGGCAAAAATTACCTCAGGCTAGAGTTGGGTGAACTGGTTCTTTTCAGTGATTCGATGCCATGGTTTGCATTCTGGTCTCAAAACCGTTTACGATGCCTTTTAATTTCGATTTCGATTCCGCATTTTCAAAATTATCGGTGTTAATGAGCACTACAAAGGAACGACCCGCAGTAAGAGACAATTCAGTAGTCAGGATTTCTGAACCCAAACTCGACGGTTTTAATACCAGGACTTACGAAACATGTCGATTGTCGATTAAATTACCGTCTAATGTTGTAATTTGTAGATATATGAGTTACTGTCTAGCACACACATCCTCAGTGTGTTCGCGACATTTATTCAAAGTATTGGTAATCATATCAGTATGCATATAGAGTATGTACGTTTCTTGGGGAAATGGAAGAACGTTATTAGATTCAACTACTATGTGTTAAAATAACAAATATTTGTTTGTTAATACATATTATTCATGTTTACTGTTATTAGCTTGACAGCACTACAAATGTATCAACTGTCAAGAGTAGAGAAGGAAAACGAATACTAGAGATGGACCTCGGAAATTGCGTTCACAAATATTCACAAGTGTTAATTAGGGTGATTTGACGTCAAGGAATATGTTAATCATTACATAAACACAGCATTCACATCGGAACTTGCTATCTTAATTTGTTACAAGCGTGAAAGAAATGTGTGGTTGTTGTACAAAGGGTACTATAAAAGTTTTGCAAAATGGACGCAGGAGGCTGCATGTCCATGAGCGCATAGTAGCCGCCAGCAGCACGTCTGTTGATATTGTATAGTAGTATTGACAGTGTAAACTGCGGACTATGGCATCGTAGCCACTTAGTGCGATAAGTTTTACGGTATAACTTTACGCGTGGTTTAAGCATAGGCCAGTGCTTATAAGAAATGACGCTTGCATTGAAGAATGATGGTTCCCATCGTACGACTATATTCAGATGGTATACAGAATTTCAAAGGGGAAATTTCACTCTGGAGGAAGCCGCGAACTTCAGTAACAGAGGAAGGACATTACTGCTGCAAGGAAAATGCTTGACGAAGACCGGTGAGTGACATACCAACAGATAGAGGAGACCTTACACCTTCATGCATTACCATTAACACGTAAGGAAACTTTGGTCTCTCTGTATGTGAACAGCATCGTGACACGGTAACCATACTTGGCTCTATTATTACGATGTGCCGACCAAGGCTCAAAACAAAGTTTGGGTCTTTGATGATAAGGACACACCCGTAGCTGTTAGAAAATCCCGATCTGTTAAGAAAAAAATGATAGCTGTATCTTTCAAATCGAGCGGGTTTGTGGAGCGTGACGTTTTGGACACACAGAAGACAGTCACAGCTAAGTGCTACACGGAACAGTGCCTGCCTAAAGTCATAGAGTCTATGAAAAACCTCCGGCCAAACCTGCAGTATTTCACCACTACTGGACAGCAACTTATTGAGCACCCTCCTTACAGCCCAGATCTTGCTTCCCGCGACTTTGAACTGTTACCGCATGTGAAAATGAAGCTAAAAGGAAAGCGGTTTTGGCGGATGGAGGTGGAAATTACTTAAAGTCAATAAATAAAGCTGTATTGCAAAACTTTTATAGTACCCTTTGTATGTTGAGCAAGTTCGATAGTTTCTTAACTATCGTTCTCACGATGTACGAAAAATGACATCTGGCTCCTGGGTGCGACTTGACGGGAAATACTTGGCGCCTTATTTAGAAAATCTGCTTACAAAAAGAGTTATTTCAAGTGCCGCTACGATCGGTGCGAGCTTATTTTGAATATGATACTGAGTTGTTTTGAGTTTGTGGTGAGTGTTATTTAAGGTAGTGGCTTTCAATAACGTGAGTAGGTAGTAAGTTCAAAACAGTTTCATCCGGATTTAAGGTAGTGGCTTTTGCTGCGTAACTTTTTTATTGAACGTTCAACACTTTTTCTCGTATATTCAAGAAACTACGAAATACCGTCGAGGTGGTCTTCAGAAGAGTTGTAGAGGACAGAAATACCTTTAAAAAAATTGCTGCTTCATAGGGCGCATCAGCTTTTTCGTCAAAAAGAAGGTCGCTACCACTTTTATCAGTTCAACCATAGGGATTTGTTTGGCACTCTGAATGTCTGCATACAAAGTGCTCTCATCCGCAAAACTTCTGTATCAGATTTACCGTGCAGGAATGAAGGTTATTAATCGGTGTTAAAGCCGAAACCGATTTCCCCGTGTTCCTATTGTGAGATAAATTACAGATAGTATTCATGAATCAATTTCATCACCCTTGGTAACTTAAACCGTAGAGGGAAACTTCTGAAAAACTGTATAACAATCTAAAGGAAAAAGCTTTCGTCAAGAGTTCTAATGACCTTAGCTTGTGTTCAAGGCTGTTTTAGTCTAAAAAACTAAAAAATTTAGTGGATGCGCCACTGATTGGCAAAACTCGATCGTCATTTGATTGCTTGAGGCAATCCAGCGTACCAGTTACAAAATCGTATTATGAAGTAATCTAACACGGCTGATAGGAGATATAAAAAACCTCCGCCCTTGGAGTATCAGTTATCACCCCCTCTATTCTACTGTATACCTTAGACGACTTCATTACCTCACCTGAGACATAAAACATTCCAGTTTGCGCGCTACTTTCACGTGATGTATCGCCGCGTAAAATGAGCGACAAAAATTCGCCGGATAAAGAAAAAAAGTACGTGTTGAGGCCTCCGAAGCTTCCTAAACTCAAACGGTCCGCGCTTCTTATCAAAAGACTAAAACTCAAACCAAAAGCTAAAGATCTCACTCTGGAGGTACCGGGGCCATCAGACACACGATACCTGGCACCCGCTGAGCGTCAGACGCCGGAAGGGGACGACAATTTTATTTTGACGAAATCGGCGTCTGAAACGAATTTGGATACTTGGAAAGTTGAGGATTTGAAAGATAGTGCGGAACAATCTTCGGAGCAAAGCGTATTAACAGTAGAGAGTGGAAAGGCATATTTGAGTCCAGAGGAGAAATTGCCTGAAAAGACTAAGTCTCTAGAGGATCTCAAGGATATGCCAGCTTATGGGGAGCTTATAGTGGATCAAGCGGCTACTAGGGTAAATTTTAGTTTATTTTTACTTGTCACGCAAAAAATTTTCAAAATGAGATACAGTGAAACCTCTCTAACTCAATCCTTCAAAAGTTTTGCCCAAAAATTCGAGTTAGAGAAAATTCGAGATATAGAAAACTTTGGATGTGAATGTTCAATTTCAAGAAAAGAATCGAGTACATTTAATATTTTTTTAACATTTTTCCAAATCATTAAGCAACTCATCGAGTTCAAACGCATTTTGCTTGTCAGTCAGCAAGCTTTCTCTTAATTGAGAAAGCGAAGGAATCAGTTTTTCTGTACCATTCATATTTGATGCAAGGAGGCATGTGATCCGTTCGTTGTTGAGTTTCCCACCAAAGCATTTGTCATTTGTAAATACCAAACTTTTGTTCGGCATGCACCTAAAGAACAAGCCGGTCTCATCAGCATTGAAAATATTATCTTTATCACAAGGCTTCAAAATCACCGGCCGAATATTTTTGATCCAGTCGCTAACCTGGTTTTCATCTACTGCTGAGCTTTCCCCACATATGCTTTTCTGTGATATATCATACCTAAACATTTTAGTTAGAATTTTTACACACATCAGATTATAAAATTTTACCTTTTCTAAATCTATGAAGCCAACCAGCGCTGGCCTTAAAATGTGCTGCTCCTACATTTTGACCATATTCTAATGCCTTCTCTTGTAAAAGTGGTCCTGACACAGGAATATGTGCATCGCTTGTTGATGTAAACCAATTGAATACAGCAGTATTCACATTTTTGTTTGCAACATCCCTATTTCGTTTCATATCTGTCCTAAATCGGCAATTTGCAAAATTCCGAATATAGGTACGTTTTGTTTTTAATTATGGTTGAGAAGATACTCTGCGCTATCTGATATTCGGCAGCGACAATGTTGTTTTTAACTCCACTCTCCACTTTCTTTAAAATCTCAAGTTTTTTTCGATACTTAAACTTTTCAGTTTCCGTTTCGGAGGCATTTTAACGCAATGATATATGTAAACGTAACCGCTCCAATACACACCACACACACAAATGACGATGGAAACGAACCTAAATGTAAATAACAAGAAACGGTAATTCCCCGAATCTGTCTCGTTCATTACTGGTTTCAACCAGTTGTAAACAACCGATTGCGTAATTACACCGTACTCGTTTTCTCAGAAATTTCGAGTAAGGGAGGTTTTTAAGTCACAAAAGCCCGATTTCTTTTCGAGTTAGAGAAATTCGAGTTAAAGAGGTTAAAATGTATGCAAACTTAATAAAGGTGTCCGGAATTTAAAAAAGTTTGGGTTACAGAGGTGTTCGAGTTAGAGGAGTCCCACTGCATTATCCTTTTTGGATATGAGATTTTATAAATCCGCTAATCTTATAACCGCCTATAACTTAAAAAGTACCACTCGGATTTCGATGGAATTTTTTCACATGTTTCTACTATGCCACGGACGCACTTTTTAGTTTTTCAAAATCGGCGGAGAAAAAGGCCAAAAACAAAAGATAAAATAAAAATCTCTCAAACGTTTTTTGACGTTCCTTATAATTTTCGGAGAAATTTTTTGTAGGGGTTAAACATTGAGGGTTAGGAGTTGCATGGGGTTGAGGAAAGCATATCTCAATTTTTTGGCGTTGGTTATTATTAGGCATATTTCACTCATTATAGACGGTCCCGTACATTTACCCTTAAAACCTAAAAATATCCCCTACAGTACCGTGTCGATAAGTGCTACGTCGTCCTCCTATCGACAAGTGTACGTCGTCGGTGGTCGTATATCACAGTCGGCAATCGCTTCCGCAAGCGGGATAGGTCATTACAACGAGCATGTACGCCTGCAGCAATTTCTCCCAGGGGAGGAGGAAAGTCATTTAATTTTTTGTTATACATGTTCGTAGCTTCTTTCTCAGAAGGGCTAAAGCTTGTTGCTAAACATAATCCTTTACAGAGTCAACTTACTTGACTCCATTTTTACCAATATACAGAACAGACTGTTCCTTTGGACTTTCCACCACGAATTACTCAATCTCTTTGACTGCTAAAGCACCTCAGTAGGCTTTAATTTCACACTCAAGTTGGTAGAGCTCTGTAATACAGAGTCTGTATATCTACAGCCTGCTGGTATTACTCATCCATAAATAATGTGGAATAATCTATACTATACTACAACTATTTAAAACTGTAATGACTCATAGGCGTAATCAACACGTGATCAGAGCTCGATCCCGACTTCCTTCCAGTACAGCCGTATAGCGTACGACATATATCGTTTCTGTGGCTTTGCGGTGGTCAACAGCACAGACAGAGATGAAATAATGGCTGATTGTTCTCTGCCGGTAGAACCAATGAAATCAAAGACGCGCCTTGACCGGCAGACTCATAGGCGTCGGCAACGCATTGGAACGTGTTTCGTTGAGCGATCGCATATTGTGTGTTTTTATAAAAATTGTTGTGATGTATTGTTATGGTTTCCTGTGGTTACTGTTTTGGTTATACTTAACCATGGAGAGTACAAATGGCACGAGTGGAAGTACTGAAAGCCAGGGAACAAGTAGACGGCTTCGTAAAGCACTGAAGAGGGACGCGAAAGAAATCGTGCTCAACGTGGTCAATTATCTGAACAGAACTATGTCGCATGGAGATGTGAAAGTTCCAGAGTGGACCATTCGCAGGGTGGTGCATGAAAAGAAGAAAACTGGAGCTACTACTTATCCAAAGTTTAATTTGAAGGGACGAAAGGCCGTTAAATTGGATGACGATAGCAAAATGGCGTTAAGGCGAACCGTACATTCATTCTTCTTTAGGAATGAGATACCAACCCTCAAGGCTGTACATGCAGCGATCAAGGAAAATGAAATTATACCCCAAATGAGCGTCGAGGTAATGAGGAAATCCCTGCACGAAATTAATTTTCGTTACGAAGCGCGTAATCGGAAGTCAGTATTGATAGAGAGACCTGAAATAATCGCCTGGCGTCGAAAATTCCTACGCGAAATGATTGAATATAGGCGACAAAGCAGAAAAATCTATTATTTGGACGAGACATGGGTAAATGCAGGTCACACAGTTAAAAAAACCTGGATAGACAAAAACGTAGTGAGTAACCGACAAGCAAGCATTGGAGGTTTGTCAACAGGTCTTCGTGGACCGTCAGGGAAAGGCCAAAGATTGATCGTAACTCATATTGGTAGCGATAGTGGCTTTTTAGAAGAGTGTGACTTGATTGTCGTCTCTAAGAAAGGAGGTGATTACCATGACTAAATGAATGCCAGCTGCTTTGAGAGCTGGTTTCAAGGGGTGCTTCAGCGAGTTGAGCCCAACTCTGTGATCGTCATGGATAATGCTTCCTACCATAGTCGTCTAGCCGAACGTGTACCGACTATGGGATCTCGAAAAAGTGACATGCAGCAATGGTTGCGCGAAAAAGGAATCCCGTTTGACGATTCATGTATGAAAGCGGAATTGTATGAAAAAATAAAACAGCACAAACCAGCGAAAATTAGTTACGTGACTGATGAGATGGCCCGTCAATGTGGTGTCACTGTGCTGCGGTTACCGCCCTACCACTGTGAACTGAACCCAATAGAGCTCATCTGGGCTCAAGTGAAGGGTTATATTGCGACCATAACACAACCTTCAAATTACCAGACGTTAAGGTTTTACTTGAGACTTACATACAGCTAGTAACGCCCGAAGCTTGGCAGAATGCTATTCGTCATGTTGTGAAGGAAGAAACAAAAATGTGGCAGCTTGACCACCACATCGACACCATCATAGAGCCAGTTATAGTCAATTTCAACGAGGAAAGCGATAGCGACAGTTTATTACTGTCAGATGTAAGTGGAAGCGACGATGAATAAAGGTAATTCCCAAATTTTTGACTTACAATATGTTTCAAACCACTCTTTATTAAGCATGTGACAAATCTAGTGCACCCATGTTAAACATTCATACCCCGCCTATGAACAGCCGACTACTGGTAGTTAAGTGATGTTCACGTGAACATCGATGAGTCATTACAGTTTTAGATAGTTATAGTATAGATTCATTCGGTGATCATGGACAACAATTCAAATAAACGTCTGGTAAAGCTTCGTTTTGAAGATGTATGGCAACTTATTTGAAAAGTATTTTTCCATAACATCGCATAGCCCTTTCGCCGGTGTTATTGAAATTGGTTGTTACTTTGGGAAATACAGACGTATCGCCAAAAATCAGTGGCGTATGTAAGGGGAGAGAGCGATACAAAATAAGGATCACGTTCTGGACGAATCTGGCAATTTTTAAGCGAATGGGAGCAGTGACGTAGCAATGTGGGGGGGCAACGGGGGCGGGCCGCACCCACCCGGTGACTCAACTTTAACAACAATGTACAAACAAAAAAATTGCACAGATTGCATTGCAAAGTAAAGGCTTAACTGTTGACAAAACTGCTATAAAAATAGAGGCACTTCGTCTTTATATCGAAGGAAAACGGGGTCACATTATAGAAGAGGCAATAGATGTTGCTACCAAAAATCAGAAGACGACTTCATCGTAAAAAACGAGTGGTTGGTGAGATGACCAGTGATGCAGGACTCACACTGAAAGAAGAACTTCAAACAGATATGTTTGAATGTCTTAACAGATTCAGAGTTGAACTCCAGACAAGATCGAAGTCTCTTCAAGACCTAGCTTCATAGTTTGAGATTTTACAAAGAAATACTTTGCTTTTGGCGAATACTGACAAACTGAAATTAGCTAGATCCAAATTTACTGATTTTTATGATGAGGTCTCAGAAACAGGATTTTACGGGCAACAGTGACCCAATCGCAGCTTAGTAATCTTAGCATATTATATAAATTTAGATGAAGTTATTTCTGAGTTTGCAGCTGTCAAAGCTAGAAACGAGATTTTAATTGTAAGATAAAAATATTTTTTCTGTCTTTTAGTTTTAATTGTGTTTTGTTATTTGTTCATTATTTTAAATATAAACATTATATGATCCATGACGTTTATAAATCATATAAAAATTATTGCTTCTGATTTTCGATGGGGTGACACCACCAAGTTCCGGGTGCTACCCAAAGTAGCTACGCCGCTGAATGGGAGAGTCCAAAAATATTGTGAAAGCGCCTGATTTATTTATTTATTTATTCATCCTAAAATTTGCAATTCGCATATTTCAAGTTTGGGAATTGGGATGCTTTAGCTGAAGTATCTGTTAGGGCTTCTAATGTGTGGTTCTATGTCCAGGTCCAGCTATGTACCGAGAAGCGCTGAGTTTTTTTTCGCTTTGCCATTAAATATCGATATGTTACAAATTTTGTATATGATTATTTTGAAACTCTTAGATGAAGATCTTTATATGTTTATTTCGTGATGGGTCACAGAATATATGCATAGAAACTTTACTTTCAAAAAGAGGAAAATAAGTCTTTTTCAATTTTTCTAGTGATATTCACTTCAACTTTCACAATGCTTCCAAAATACTGAAAAAAACAGGAAACTAATTTTACGTACTTTCTTCAGAATAGCAATTTTATGCCATTTCCAAGCTCTTTTAATGGGTAAACAACATCTTTGCAATATGTTGTAAAACCCACCAATTTAAGGGTCTGAAGTTATTCAAAAGATGTATTGTACAGATTGAAAATATGAAACTATGCAAACTCCCTAATAAAAGAAAAGGTTAGTTGCCGGATTTTAGAGACAAAATGACATTCCTTTCAATATTTTTGTGGCCCGTCACTTCGCAACTATGAGCAAAAATTCGTGAAAATAAACAAAAAATGTTATGTTTATCCCTGTAAAACCTCACAAATATGAAAGTTATGGCTAGTTGGATCGAAGGATTTGAGTTTAATTTTTTTGTTTAGGGTTTTGGCTTAATTGACGCGTTTTTCATGGACACGTAAAGACTGTGGAAAGGTTTGCTTTCCGACTAAGTTCCTGAGAAATCGGATAACATTGCGCCTTACTTTTAGTGTGATACTGGCGAAATGTGGGATTATCACGCGAAATAATATTATTAGCTTCTTAGAGCTGCCAAATTGTAACCTTTTAATTTGCACTTCAGGACCGATCGCTATAGAAACTTCCTGAGCTATCTTAGACCGTTCTTTCCATCCTAGGAATATTGCCACTTTTTTTTAATCACCCTGTATAAACGCAAAATCTAGGCTATTACGTTATCTGCGGTTATTATTCTATATCAAATATTATTTTCCCAGCTAGAATAAATATAGCGAGTATTGATTACATCTAGTCAAACTGGACCATGGATCGAGTTTCCTGTTTCAACAAACATCGTACCTTCATTTCAAATAATTGTTGACACGCCTGGGGAGATGCTGCTCCGACTAGAAATTACAAATTTGATAATGTCTCTAAATACTAGGATTTATAGGCATTGTGGTTATATGTTATGTTTAAATCAATTTTGTACGATCTCTTTTTTCACTTGGGGCCGACTTTTCTGGGATCTCTCACCGGTTAATTAAAGCTTTTATCAGAGCTGTTCTATTGTCTGCAGTATTATTCACCACCTTTAGAGCATTCTCGAAGCCTCTTTAAGAATAAAAAAACCTGGACTCTTTACAAAGCACTATCGTCATAGGCCTGTTTAGCGTTTCCGTTGCACTATGCCCAAGTCTGAAGCAAAACCTGATAGCACACCGTTGCTCAAAATTGATGTCACTCATTTTAAGAACATACTGTTTCCCAAAAAGATCGCTACGGACAACGAAATGACTCGAGCTAGTTCAAACTTGTACTGCAGATGGATCACAAGTTTCCCTGTCTCCCCTCCTGGCGCCGCCAGTGTTCCCAGATCGAACGCTACGTTGCCAGTCTCAGCACTTTATTTACAGACCTCGTATAAATGTTAGCTTTTGGCGCAATGGGGTCCAAAAAAGATTTGGATCTGCTGCAGCTTCTGAAGACCTATCCAGATGGAAACGTCAAAAAGGTGCTCTGACAGTTGCCAAGAGACATATTGGTATCTTTCAGAGACAAATGTAGGATTTCCTGTTTTAGATTAACGTATTTCCGAGGAAGAGATTATGGATCAAAATTTGTAAACGAAACCTGCAAAGAAAAAACTAAAACCATTGGAGGGCATCTATTTTTTGAAGGAATAGAGATGAGCTATTTCGTTACCATCAAACTAACACAAAACAGAACTAACTAAGATGGTTGCTGAAAATATTTGAAATCAAAGGTGAAATTAGTTCCTGATACAAATGCTTTAGAGCATTGTAGCCTCAATATGAAAAATATCTCATTATTTGTGCCCCAATTTTATACATATTCAGCAACATACTAATGTAATTTTGAATTCTTCTGGATGGTGGTCGCCGCTCTTAAGGTAGTCAATGATACTACATTAAGAGGAATAGGTCTCATTAAAAGTTCAATGAATTGGTCAGAGACGACCAACAAACCTATAACTAGCAATTTGTACATCGAGAACTGGCCTAGGTTGTCGAGATAATGGGCCAATGTTCCTGAGGAAGTGAACCTTAGACAGTTCAAAAATCAATGCGTGGAAAGCAATTAGTCAATTTACCTGACTATTTTTTTAGACGACAGTGTTATACGCATTAATTCACAAAAAAGGAATGTTACTTGCCTGTACTAATCTAACGATATGATGTCAGGTTCTTTTATTATGCTATTTTATCGAAAATCGTATCATGCGTGAGCAGCTCTGAACATCGAAGAGAAAAAAAGGAAAAAAGTTGTAATTAATGGGATCCGAACCCACAACCCGCGGTTGAAGCCGCTCACCACAGCTGGACGGTTAAAGCATCTGGTCCGAATTGGAAGGTCATGGGTTGAAATCCCACTGGTGACCAGGTTTTTATCGCTTATGACTTAGATTTTCAGCTTGCTTACGTGTATGTTTTTGTTTTTTACAGTCAAATGCAAACCAGAACAGCAGTAAGCCAAAGGACCACCTGTACAAAATACTAGTGATTGGAGATCTCGGCACTGGGAAAACTTCGATAATCAAACGTTACGTACACCGATTCTTCACACAGCACTATAGAGCCACCATTGGTGTTGATTTTGCTTTAAAGGTTCTCAACTGGGATGATAACACTCTCATTAGGCTCCAGTTGTGGGATATTGCAGGTAGAGTAATATATTCCACAAGGCGTTTCCTAAGCATTTGTACAAACATTCAATCTTCAAATCATTATAAGCGCGGAATGCATAGTTATTATTCTTTGAGGCATCTTTATTGTATGTATACTTTATTTGCCTTCTCACAGGCGAGTTGTTAAATATCGAAGAATGCGTCTTGCTCGATACGAGACCTCCTTATTACCTCCGGTTGCTAATTATTAATATGAAGTTTGATGCTGAATATGTTTTCTATAGACATAGAATCAAAATGAGTATGCCCCTAGTGTCTTGAAGAAAGTAGCCTTAAATTTAATGACTATGCAAGGAAATGAGGCATTCTCATAATAAGGAGGCATCAAGTGAATGAACCATTATGAGTTTTGTCGTCGAACTCTGTCGTCATCTAGGAGTTTTGTGTCCCTCTTTGGACACTTTTATTACCAACCATTTGCTTTATTTTTAGTGCCCTATAATCAAACTAGCCACCGGTGTATCTAAAAAAGAGTGTTTTTATATTTCGAACTGGAGGCTGCAAATTCAACTATACAGCTACCTAATCAGTGGCATGTCATAGGGATTCTGTACTAGAATAGGGGTGATCAGTCATTGGGCCCTTAGTGTCTTCCCCAAGGCTTACTCAGGGTTGGATCATCAGTCAAGAGAAGGTGATGCTATGATCCAGCGAATGTCTTCTTTCATTATCCATAGAGGGTTAACGCTCCCCAGAACATCTGGGCACCCGCAAAGCAAGCTCTTAAGGTCACGTGTCTCTTTTTTCAACTGTATTCGGAATCTTTTCATCTGATTATTTCATGGTGTGTATAGAGATGACTATAAAAACATCAATTTTTTTGTAAAAAAATGCATTTTTGGAATTTTATTGTGCATTTTTTCTTCAATCGTAACTTGTTAACGAATATTAGTACAGCTCCGAAATTGTATATGAATATTCCACTTTTACGTAAGGATGAAGCGAATGATTACTTTTATTCTTATCACTTATCACTCTTCAAAAGAAGAATGATTTATTTTGGAAATATGGGCTCTAAATTCTCATAGTAAATCAAGAAATATTTCAAATTTTTCATCTGTGATCCGGAAATAAAAGTTGGCGCAAATTCCACGAATCAAAAAAAGGATTTACGGCCTACTCAAAACATAGATCACACCTGATAAAGTAGATGACATGGCGCCATTACTACGCATTTTATTGGAAATTTATTATTACAGTAATTTTTATTTAATTGAAATACACTATCTTACTGTTGCCGTATAAAATTCTGCCTAATAAATTCTTTAGTAAAATTACAGAATGCTTATTCTTTAACAAACTTTGAGTAAATAATCAATTTACTTGACCCAGTTCCTTAAGCCAGCCCTGTTTGTGTGAACAGGGAGATGTCGTGCACTGTACTGGATGGTATGATGACCTAGGCGACCACGCTGCGCCAGGGTGACGGTTGCAATGCTAGTCAGGGTTGCCAGGCGTGGCGATTTTTCGTTAAACTTGGCGATTTGACGGCTTCAAATGAATAGCTTGGCGATTGGATACTTAATGGCGCCCAGTATCCAGCAAACTGGTGATATCTGGCGATTTTTAACATTTCTGACGCCAATAAATTTGTAATCAATCTTTGCTGATATGTGTATACAGGGAAAACCAAATTTGTCTGACGGCTTGAGTTCAATGTGTACGAGAGAAGCGCGAGAAATATGTACCAACACATGTTAAAGAGATAGAAGCCGGCTGAAAGCGAGGTCTCACCACACATTGCCTAGCAACGGTAACGCAGAAGCTTGTGCAAGATTCCGCGTTGCCGAAATGTTATACCAGAAAATGTTCGCACAGGCTTCTAGTATAGGGTAGGTTACTGTCAAACCCAAGAAGGAGACCTATTTGAAGCAGGGCGACACTCCCCAACGGGCGCTAGATGGGTACTGACCAAAATCGCTCGTCTACGATCATGGAGGTCGAAACCTTGCCTTGGAATGTACAAGATCCGGTGTCATCAAACGAACCAATGATGCAGTCCTGCAGGATTTATGACGATCCTGACCTTTCATTCCGACCTAAAATGCAGCGCCATTAGGGCCGATCTGGAATCGATCCTAAACAGATTCGACATAATTTACAACTAAAAACTGTCTACGCTCAAAATAAAACCATCATTTTGGGCGTAGAGACTAAACTAACGCATGTATTCAACATGAACCTTAATTCAAGGAACTGGTGTAACACAATGGCAACGAGGCAGACTGCCGCGTCAGCGCTGATAGGCAATGCGGTGATGAGCTTCGCTAACCAGCCCGATTCTATCTCTTTCTAACATATATGTTAATAGACACTTCTGTCCGGAATACATTGAACTCAAGCCGTCAGATAAATTTGGTTTTCAGTGGAGATCAATGAAACATGAAACGAGGACCAGCAGAAGTTCTGTTCTCTAAGCACAATGACGCTTATGGTCAAATGTCACGTCAAGGAGTACGTGTCCCAAGCAAATCAACGACATCCCATCCTAACACTTTTGACAAAGTGTGGCTTGATGTAAGATTATTACAATTTTTGAACGATAACCGGGAGAAGGAACAGAGAGCCCCCAAAGATCACTGGGGAAAGGTAACAATGCATAAAATTATTGTCTCCCCGCTCTTCAATTTTTAATAGTCGGTAACATTCGCTAGAAGTCCCGCCACCTCAAAATGTCTCTATGAATCCGCCCCCTGTAAACGAACTTATAGTTTCGTTAATATTACACGTGTCTAACAACCCCCCAACCTCACCCCCAGCTTTTCAATGGATTCTTGGAGTATTATTACGCCTAACCCCCCTCAACTTCGCTCTTCAGTTATCGTCAACAGGAAAGCTACTTAGGCGCTTAAGCCAGTAACTACTCCACCTCCCCGGGCGACAAATCCATTCCAATCTCTAACCTTGAGTTTTATGGTTAGACTCCTAGTTAATTTGCACTTCATGGATTGGCGATTTCCGGCGACTTTCTCATCAAAACTTGGCGACCAACCGTGATGCTAGTAGTCGTCCTACTGCCCAGAAGAGGGCGCGAGAGCTGCCTGTTAACAGGGCTGGCCTAAGAAACAGTCAAGTGGATTGAATATTTACTTCAATGCTTGTTTAAGAATAAGCATTCTGTAATTTCATTTGTTCTCAAAGCATTTATCAAGCAGATTTTGAACAGTAACAGTGAGACACTGTTATTTTCAATAAAATGGAAATTTAATTGCTATCATATGAATCTAGATATGTGTTAATGCTTCGAGTATGGCACAACCGCTTTTTTTTTCATTGGTGCATTATATGATCATGGCCGCTAATGTAGTGTCTGGACGCAAATCAAAAAATTTGTGCAGCTAAACCAAATGATTTATGACCTATTTCTTGATTTAATATGAGAATTAATACGTATAATTGTTGGTCAAATATCGCGACTTTTATTCGAATATCTGGCAGGTTCGACGCCAATTCTTTAAGCTGGTTGGGTTGTTAATTTCAGTGTTGGTTTCCGGGGTCGACAAAAAGCTAAACGTACCGTATATTTACCTAACAGATTTTTGTGAGTGCGCCAGTGTGCGTAGTATCGAACCAAACCTATTGGTCATGGTTTCATCGGATTTCTGTTCATTTCAGAAACATTTTGCGAAGGTATGGGATAATTAAATTCTAGTTTGTACACACGGATCAGTATTTCAGTATTTGTATTACGTGCGTTTGCATGGTCAATCCGCTACAATAACTGGATTCACTTTCGAATAATAACTGGAATAATCTATTTTCGAGCTTGTTAGTCTACATTTGTTTCTCCATGAATTAATCATTTTACACAAAATGGATGCCAGGGCTTGCAATTAGTCTGCAATTCTCGAATATAAATGTTATATCGGTAGTGTTAGCAAAATATGTCTGGCAACTAGGAACCCTTGGAGCCTATTTGTCGGCCCTGAAAATCAACACTACAACAATTGATTGATTAAACTCCAATTTATAAAACAGTTTACTTGATTCTATGGAACTATTTTAGTTAGACCGAAAACGCAATCGGTTAATTATATTTATTAAACCAGTTTACTTTGATAGAATACACGAATTTATTTAAAATTAATGAACTCTTTATATTTATATGGATTAAATTTGTTTAATTAGTTTAGGTAAAAATATTTGTCTAGTTTCAATTAATTGTTTTCTTAAGATTTAACAGGATATTTGGATAATATTTGGAATTTAAAAGAAAAAATTGCATTTCTCTGGATGATGTATATTATAACTACTCTGACAAATCCTAGGGATCCAAAAATTTTTAAAACTTGATATTGATAGTTGATGTTTTTGAATCAAAATAAAGCTTCCGAATTTTCAATTTCATTAACTGTGAACTTATTGTATACCAAGTATTACCAATTATTCATCTGATTGTCCAGAAACAGGTTATAATACGTATACCACCATTCACTAGAAGCAATTCTTTGTTTTAAATCCAAAAAGTAGGGAAAGAGATGCCTGAAACTAAATAAGGCCACTCGATTATGCGTACCAAAATTGTATTTTTATTTTCAATAATACAGCAAGATTGCACTCACCCGCAAGCAACGCATTTACAAATACGAGGGTTGTCTCAAAAATAAGGTACATTGCGCATGGCTTTCAGTCCGGTACTGAGTGTCGCCAATAGATGCTTCTTGTTGGGATCGATGGTGAGTGAGCCGACAAACACGACGGTGTTGCCACATTTCGCCTAACATCACGCGTGGCAAACTTACAGCGTTGGAAACTTTACTTTCGAAACAACCCTCGTATAATGAACTTCGACATCACTTTAAACAAACTAGGACTAAGGAACGAGTCCTGCCGAGTCCGCTATCCAAATAAACAGTTCAATTGTTTTTACTAAAGTGTTTAGTTGTTCGAAACGTACCTTTTCTATATAAACTAAATTACTTGAACTAATCAAACAGTTCAATAAATCAGGTTCATGGTTTGGTATTTTCAAGCAAATTAGTTAAACAGTATATTACTTTCAATTAAACTGGTTCCAGAAAATTCAGTTTGATTAAATCAAGTAATTTAGTTACTTGGAATAAGTAAAATATTTATTACGCTTAATGAAAATTTTTCCAGTACAATTGTTTGATTGACCACGTTGTCTCAGTGCACTGGAGTCTCATCAAATGTTTTTTGATTTTGAAAATAGATAATTTTCTTATCTTTATTAGGTCAAGAGAGGTATGGTAACATGACAAGAGTGTACTATAAGGAAGCTGTTGGAGCTTTCATCGTATTCGATGTAACCAGAAGGACTACTTTTGAGTCAGTAGTGAATTGGAAGTCAGATTTGGATTCAAAAGTACAGTTGCCCGATGGATCTCCAATACCGTGTGTTCTCCTAGCGAATAAGGTAAGTATTTGCTTCTATCAACACAATGACTGCTTATCAGATAACATCCATAGTGTCTCGGAATTGTCCTGTATATTTCCTATCCAATATAGGGACAATGTACTTGGAATCGAATAAGATCTGCTCGCATTGAGAATAAATTTAATTAAACCAGTTAAAATTTCAATTAAACCAATTAAATAAATTAGTTAACTATGCTACAGCTAACAAGTTCAATTTGTTTGAATAAACTCCGATTTTTAAAACAGTTTACTTTGATCTAAGAAACTAGTCTCATTAAATCAAAACGTAATCGTTTAATCAAATTTATTAAGCCGTTTACTTAGATTGAGTACACCAATTTATTTAAAATCAATGAACTATTAAAATTAGTTTGCGTTCTCCACGTAAAACAATTGAACTGATTTCTCTAAATTTGATATTAATTAGTTCAGGTTAAAAGTTTTTGCCTATTTTATTAGAATTTAAAAGTACATATATTCAGATTATATTTGACATTTAAAAAACAATACATTTTACTGAATACTGTATAATTGAGCCCTGATAAATCTAAGGTATCAAAAACCTCCATACCATGAGGGTTGTTGATGATTCGTTTTTGTGGTGAGAAACAGTCCTTCATCCACATTTGAAAAAGTTTCTAGGCCTCAGAATAGACTAAGCAGACTGTGCTAGAATCTAGTGCGCTGGAATCAGAACTTATAATATGAGCCGGACCCAGGGTTATTTTGCCGTTTGAGAAAAACTGTCGGTCGTTGGAACTAACCTAGACATGTAAAAGCACCTTCTGGGTGCAGAGCAACAGAATATAAAAAATTAAAATTATTTTTGTTCTGATTTTAGTGCGATCAGCCTGCAGAGGGCATCGTGAGTAATCCAAGCAAAATGGACGAATATTGTCAAGAGAATGGATTCGCAGCCTGGTTTAAAACTTCAGCAAGAGATAATATCAATATTGATGAAGCAGCTCGAGGTTTGGTAGAAAAGGTTAGTGAACTCATTGAATTAGAGCTTTACGCCCAGAAATCCTTTGCATTCAGAGCATACTTAGTTATCGATAAAGTAGCGTAATGCTACCTGTATGTAGCAGCTTTGGTCAGCTGCAGACTTTGCTACTGGTGAGAGCATTAGCTAAAGGAGCATCTCTACTATATGAGACCATTGCTACCTAGGAACCAATCAGAAGGCGTTTTTGAGTACTGGATCTATGAATAGAGTCGATTTCTTCTGAAATTTTTCTCAAACTACTGAACAAATTAGACGATTAGTGTAAGAATTGATCTCTAATCTCCGTATTAGATCAACGAGTTCTTTATCAATCAAATGGTTTAGCTACAAAAATTCATTTCTTCATTTGATCTCAGGACCAAAATTAGCTCCCAGAGAACCGGATGTAACATTTGTTTTTCAAATAAAATGCGATACCTTATGTTTTGCAACTCTGTATGAGGACCTGCTTTATAACCATGTAATATAAAATCACTATTTTTGAAAAATTTTTATTACATATTCGGTTGAACCCTTCCAAGTTTGAAATGATGTACAAAATGGCGCCCACCCGCCATCTTAACATTTCCAACTGTCACTTTGATACTAAAATACAGTATTCACCACTGCGAATTCCGGCTTGCTAACTTGGCCCCTTCAAAAAATGGTTGCGCGAGACCTTTTTGAAAAATACATTTATAATAATATGCATTTTTATTATTTTCCAGATTCTGGAATGTGATTCTTTAATCAACAATGAAAGAGATAAAGAAACCGACCATTTCTCGCTAACCAAGGACTCCAACGGCCAGCCAGAGAGCCGGAAATGTTCTTGTTAATTTTTGGAACCTTGTTATCTATCACGTTTTTCATATATCGTCATAACTGCGAGCCAAATATCAGTCGTATACCAGTCACATTTTGTATAATAGATCTTACATTGCAAAAGAATACTCACGAAAATCTTGATTCCACAACTATATAAGAATAAATTCATATTTATAAAATCAACAATTACCTAGTCCTCAAGATTATAACCATTGTCCATATTATTTGCTATGATGACTGTTCTTCAAAAAGTTATATAGCGTGATAATAAATTACCTGTCCAAACTTCTGATTCCTTGGATGATCCTAAGAAAATTTTATATAAATATATTCGGTAATGCTTCGTTTTCAAGGTTCAAATTATTTTTAAAATCATTTTTGCTTGAAAATTGCACCAACTCTTCCAATTTTGTTAATATTTAGCAACTACATACACGTATTGCTGACAATTTGAATTTAATCATTTAAGAAAAACAATTTGATAGCGAGATTTAATTCCGCAATTTTTTCCTTTGGGGGTTTGGGTTTTATTGATGCGTTTTTTATTTAAATTCAATCTAAAATTCCATTGTAATTAGGTTCGTAAAAGATTTAAAATTCTTCCTGACCATTAAATCTTCTCTTGGCGCTGGAACCTACAAAATTCCAATATAGCGTCCATATGAAAAAAGCAAAGTTGGTGGTGGAAGTCTAAAGAAGAAATGTTGAATTGAAAACTTGACTATGCGACCTTGTAGAGAAGAATAAATAACATTGACAATATGCAATTTATTTTGAAATTCCATCCCAAATGAAGTCAGGAAAACATAAAAGTGATTTTGGCATAAATCTGGTATGGGAAACAAATAATGACTATCTGATAGTTTCAAATTTTTCTTCGAAATAACAGAGGTTTGGCAATGTCAATGTATGACGTATTATACATTTTTGGAATCAGAATTAAAAACTCTTAATTTATGCACGAATCCAATATGGCGTTCATGAGAAAAAATAAAGTTGATACTGGAGGACAAGACACAAAACGTCATATTGAAATTTTAATTATGCCATCGCGTAGGGAAGAAAAGTGGCGATGTTAGTGTACAATTTATTTAAAATTCCACTACAAATACAGTTAGGAAGAAAAGTTGAAACGATTTTGGGAAAATTCGGTTTTGTCCGTCTCTCTCCGGAAGTACTTTTAATTTCGAAACTTTCTAAGCGGTATTTTGTTGATTACCTAAATACGCAACTTTGCCTCCATTTAAGCGATTTCGCATCTGTTACAGTTTCCTAGATCCCAATGGTAAAGGTCGAATTTGAAAAACCCTGTATGCTGTTAATTCTTTAACATCAAGATCAAGATGAAATTATAACGGACTATACCACTAAAAAACGCACTAAACTTTATCTGAAAGGCTGGGTCTATATTTGCAATGGAAGGATCTTTTGTTGACTGGACTATATGCGCTAGGTATTTTTTATATTTTGTAATTTAAATGAGTTTTCGTGTATAAGTATAACTTTCCTTGTTGCGTATGTTTCTTTTTAATAATTTATATTAAAAATGTATGAGACTGATGTGATTTAATGTTTTTATTCATACCTGAAGAATGATACTGTCGTATGTAAACAAATAGAGGAAGACACCTGACTAGCGCTTGGAATATAAGTAGCTGATTAAAAGGTGGAGATAGGATTTATAACACCGTCTTTCAACATTATTTCCGTTTTAATTGTTGGATGATGGTTGAAATTTATCTTCGTATTAGGCGAGGCAAACACCTGGGATTTGTGAGAGGAAACTATCCACAATTGACAGAAACCAAGGGGTCGCCGGGCGGTAAGCCGGTGCTAACTGGATTAAACAATATTTTAAACATGTTACAAAAATGTTTTCTCGCTTTGCACGTTTTTGTAGGCTTTTTGATTATTCTGAATGAAAATGGCGTCAAGTAGATCGACTCTATACTTCCTACGCCTTCGTTGGAGGTTTCAAACGACAGGGATGAGTCAAATCGTTTCAAAAAGCGAAATCGAATCGTGATTGGTAGGTTCACTTCGCTACAATGAATCTTCAACCTCAGATATAAGACAAATATAAATAATAATTTACAACCATTTGCCAAATACAGGTTCCAACCTACAATATTCATAACCTCCAAACAATGGCTGAAAATGAGCAGGAATCTCTAAAACGTAACACTATGTTCCTGCGATTTTATTTCAAAATCTACCACAACCTAAACGATGGACGTATTAAGGTCGCGAAAATATCCGAACTTCAGCTTAGAAGTTTTCTGTTGCTTAGAGATATCTGCATCGCACTAAACCGTGTTTCTCATTTATGTCGGTTTGTCATTCCGTGTCTGTTGTATATCAATGCGTCATATGTACGGAGTCAATCTACTTGACAAGATATACAGAGAACCATCATAGATGGAGTAACACAAATTGAAGGTTAGACGAAATAAGATCATAAATAAGCCTTTTCATCCTTGTGTGGAAATTTTATCAAAATCCGACCGAAATCTATACAGATATTCAGAAGGCATTTGATCAACTTGATCATTATGTACTTCTGGATAAGCTTAGGACCGTAGGTCTATCTGAGGGACGTTGTCGCTCCTGAGTTCATACTTGATGGACAGAAAGTTGTTTGTTGAATATGGTGGTTATAGGTCGAGTTATTATCAGGCCACATCTGGGGTGCCTCAAGGCCCATTATTGTTCCTGATCTTTATTAACGATTTGTCTCTTGAGCTCAAGTGTTTGCATCTGTTTTCTTGCTGACGACGTGAAGATTTACGCATCGGTCGAGTCAAATGATGATCGTCTCATGCTGCAGGATAATTTAGACTTAATTTCTTCATGGTGCTCGCGAAACTGTCATAGTTTAAATGTTTCTAAATGTAAAGTTGTGTCTTATACAAAAAAGACTAATTACACTGATCAACAGCCAAAAAATATCCTAAATAAAATCAACAAAATATTACTATTTTTAATGTGCTAAAACCGGAATGAAACTTATTTTTTCAATATTAGTTCAAGTTTTAGAGATACGGTAATTATATGTGTTCCTGCTGTGACAGTGTTAATATACTGTAATTCACAAGAATGCACGTGCTACATTTTTATATTCGGCAAGGAAAGATGATGTATTCGGCATGATTGTGTTACGTTATACATACGTGTACATTATATTGTTTTATATTAGCCATTTTTTCCTCAGTTGGCTGACAGCGTTCATGCAAGATGTCTCGAAAGTGTGTAAACAATCCAGATCAGTTTTGTTACGTGTGTGGTGATGTGACTTTTGCGTCTCAGAGACGGTCTATTACTCCACTAATAACAAAGGCATATCAGCTTTATTTCGGTTGTAAACTAGGTGATCAAGACAAACAGTGGGCACCCCACATCTGCTGTAATACGGTTCAAGTCTGAGGAGCTGGTTAAATGGCAAAAAACGGTCTATGCGCTTTGCTGTCCCAATGGTTTGGAGAGAGCCTACAAATCATATTAATGATTGTTACTTTTGCATGGTACCTTGTGTTGGACAAGCCACAGGTATGTCCAAGAAAAAAAAAATCGGTTATTAACTACCCAAACATACCATCTGCGATGAGACCTGTGCCTTACAGTGACGAAAATCCTATTCCAAAACCCCCAGAATCCTACACTTGCGAATCAGAAAACGAATCAGATCATGGCGATCGAGTGATTCGTCAGGAAGAAGATATGCCATCAACGTCAAGAGATCCTGATTTTATACCGAGCACATCATGCCACCAACCGCACAAAATAACACAGTCAGAATTAAATGATCTTGTAAGAGATTTAGAACTTCCAAAATGTAAGGCAGAGTTACTTGGATCAAGACTGCAGCAGTGGAACTTGTTAGAAGACGATGTTTCGGTATGTGTTTGTCGTAAACGCCACAAAGACTTAGAACCATTTTTCAATATGGAGAATAACTTGGTTTTCTGCAGTAACATTAACGGCTTACTGGCGGCTTTAAATATAAACTATAACCCAGAAGAATGGAGATTGTTTATAGACAGCTCAACATTGAGTTATTGCATATTGGAAATATTTTACCATCTCTTCCTGTAGGGTATGCAGTTCACATGAAAGAATCATATGGCAATATGAAGTACCTATTGACATGCATAAAATACGATGAGCACCAATGGCATATTTGTGGCGATTTGAAAGTTGTTGCACTTTTACTTGGGCTGCAGCTAGGCTACACAAAGTTTTGCTGTTTTTTGTGTGAATGGGACAGTCGGGCAAAGGCACTTCATTACACCAGACAAAACTGGCCTGTTCGTCAATTCCTAGAGCCAGGTCAAAAAAATGTACAGCATATGCCATTAGTAGATTCGAAAAAAAATTTATTACCACCACTGCATATCAAGTTGGGCCTAATGAAAAACTTTGTCAAGGCATTAGATAGAGATGGGTCAGCTTTTCAATACCTGCGTCAGAAATTTCCAAGACTAAGTGAGGCAAAGGTTAAAGAAGGTATTTTTGTTGGGCCACAGATTCGAAATATTTTGAAAGATACACAGTTTGAAAACACTTTAACAGGTATTGATAAAACTGCTTGGAATGATTTCCGTCTGGTGGTCACTAATTTCTTGGGAAATAGAAAAGCTGTCAACTATAAAACCCTTGTCAAAAATATGCTGTCATCGTATCAAAAGATGGGCTGTAATATGTCTCTTAAGATACATTTCCTACACTCACACCTGGACTTTTTTCCTGACAATTGCGGAGCCGTAAGTGATGAGCACGGCGAACGTTTTCATCAGGATATTTCAACAATGGAAAAAAGGTACCAGGGAAAGTGGAATCCTTCCATGCTTGCAGACTACTGTTGGACTCTTGGTAGAGATGCTCCAGAAACGATCCATAAAAGAACAGCACAAAGGCAGCGCATATAGTGATTCTTATAAGTATATGAATCTTGTTACTTTTTTTAATATATCCTTAAAAATAAAAAGTTTTTTTTCTAAACCGCAACTAATTTTTTTATTTCATTGTCATTTTTGGATTCAGCGCCCCAAAATTAACAAAGAAGTGCACTTTTCCCACAAGATACAATTAAAAAACTAAAATTTGTTGTCCAGTGTTATTTAATATATATTTATAACGTCAACGGTCAGGTTCTAGATAGATGCCACACTTTTAAGGACCTTGGAGTAACCTTTGATAGCAGGCTAATGTTTAGAGAACATATACCTAATATCTCATCGGCTACCACCAGACTACTTGGCTTCTGTATCAGAAACTGGGAGTGGTTCTCCAATGTCAGTACTTTAATGACATTGTTCGTTACTTTTGTCAGAAGCAAGCTGGAATATGCAACCCTGATCTGGTCTCCAATATATCTAAATTCAGTTTCAATGATTGAAGGCATTCAACGTAAGGCTATTAAGTAATTTTACCTGAAATGTACTGGTTCTTATCCAGAAAAAGGTTTTTGTCATCATACCCTTTTGAATTTTTTCGATCTAGATTCACTATCAATTAGACGTAATATGTTTACCTTATCGTTTTTATGTGGCCTTATGCACAATCAAATTCACTGTCCGGATTTACTTGAAAAAATATATTTCCGTATTCCAAGGCTTGAAAGTCGTCAACAATCAGCCTTTTATTGTCAAGCAGGCCGAAAGAACGTAATGTTGAAATGTCCAGTTTATGTAATGTGCAGTCTGATGAACTATATTTGTGATCTGAAGTTGAGTCATTAATTTTCAGATAATGATTGTAGAAGGAAGATAAACCAAAATATGTGTGTAAAAATAAAAAAAAAATGTTACCTTGTTTTATAAAGTATCCTCCCGACAAGTATTTCAGTGCGAACCTGTATTTGATCGTGCGGTCTTGGAGCACCGGCATGCCCTCCCCTGTGAGGTCTTAAGTCACCTGATTCACGAGCCCTTTGTACTACATTAACAAAGGCACGAGGGGTTGGTTGCACTCGATTGGGAAACCGATCCGCATAAATCCGTGATGCCGCGTAAATAAGAATCATGTCCACAAGTTCAGCATTTTCGTAAACATGTGCCATTTTTGATTTCGTTTGAGCCACGCAACAGATATCACTATTCACTCACGCGTTACCGACTGACACTGACTGTATACAACTGAATAAAATAATTGTAAAAACATCGTTCCAAATTCTTTCGCTTTTTTGTTTCCGATGCGATGAACCGATAAGGCGGATTATATCCGTTGTTGCCAAACACGAGCACATAATATTATTATTGAGACAGGGCGCTACTCAAACTTCCAAAGGGCTATAACTTTGTTACTTTAATTTTACCAGAAAAATGGTAAAGGAAAAAAACATTTCTTTTGATCAGATCTACTCACTGTTAAAATAAATTACTCAACTTCGAAGTCATATTTATAATGACAGCTGCAAATCAATCATAAATTGCTATAAGTCATCGATTGCTCTCTGAGCATACTTAGGCCAATTGATACTAATTTAAGTTTTCAATGTGTCTCTTTATTTTCTTTTTGTTAATGTATTTGAGCTTTTCCTGTAATTGAGTTTTACCTGTAGGAAA